TCGTTGAGCCGCTAACACATTCAGCCTCTCACTCTCTCATCATACATGATTATCTGTGTATATAGGAATTATATAAATAGTTAGATAGATATTTGTACATGGGATTGTGCACAGTGGTGTGGTGATGACTTCATTTGTTGTGTGGGTGTTTATTTTCGCATTACTGTCATGCAGTGGGCGACAATAAGCAACGAAGAGACAATTCTCAGTGAGGTGGTTTGTCAATTGTGGATAGGAGCAATTCACATTTGTGTTTGTGTGTTTGTGTAGATGATTGATGGTGTACAGTGGCTAATTCGCCTGCAGTTGACTGATGTATCATTGTGGTGGTGTTGTTTTAGAGAAGTGATAGTAAAAGTTGAAGAAGTAGTGTTAGAAGTAGTGGTGTTGGTGGTGGTGTTGGTGGTGGTAGTGATAGTAGTAGTAGTAATAGCAGGAGTAGTTGTAGTAGCAGGAGTAGTAGTAGTAATAGTAGTTGTAGTAGTAGTTGTAGTAGTAGTAGTAGTAGTAGTAGTAGTAGTAGTAGTAGTAGTAGTAATTGTAGTTGTAATTGTAGTAGTATTCGAATTAGTGTTGGTGGTTCCGTTGTTCTGTTTCGTCATGAGGCGACTCACTACTGTGAATGTGTATATAAGTAGTATGAATGGTTGCATGCACTTTGGATGGAAAGTGTTGCTGAGCAGTGTTGTTCGACGTTGATGCAGTTGATAATGTCGATTTTGGTGTGTATGTTGATGTTGGGTGTGTGTGTTTGTGGAATGGTGCTGTTCAGTGTGGTGTTTGTGTATGTGGCAGTGTTTGATGTGCAAATGGATGGCTGATGGTTTTGTTTGAGTTGCATGGTGGGGACGTGTTGACTGGGCTTGTCTAGTTGACTTTGCGCAGTGGCGGTACCGTAGCCAATGAAGTTTATCTGAGGCGCGGTTATTGCTAGTTGAAAACTACTCCCAATACCCCGCACCGATGGCGTGAAATATCGTTGTCGGATGCAATTTTTCTAGGCCGTATCTGGCCCAATTCACACAAAACAGTTACTCATCGCTCACTCTCATACACTTGCACGACCACACTGACATACGCCCAAACTGCATCACCATCACCGTCATCATCAACAACAACAGCCATATTAACAGTAATTCCAAAACTGTTATAACTAACACTACTACCATTACTATTATTCTTATCATTATTATTATTATCGTCATCATCATTATTAGTATTATTATTATTATCAATACTACTACTAATACTAATTCTACTATTACTACTACTACTACTACTACTACTACTACTACTACTTCTACTGTTAGTGATACTGATTCAAATACTACTACTAATATCAACACCAACACAACAACAACAACAACAATAACTACTACTAATACTATTACTACAACTGCCGATAATGACAAATATCATACAATCGGAAAATTACAACAGACAATAACACACTCAACTCTCAGTTATGCGCACAACTCTCCTTAGCATTGTTCTCATGCAGCAACAGCAACAACAACAACGCATCATACACTCATCAACAACACAAACCTACATTAATGCATTCAATCGTTGTGTGCTTCGCGTACGAACAGTTGCACGCGCACACACTCACACACACATTCCATGTCACACGTGAACTCGTCGTAACAGTGCAGGTGGAACTCGACACACAGTGTCAGTGCATATCGATGAGAAAGCACACATGATGATGACGATCACACTGATCATAAGCATGAAGTTGGTGATAATGTTTGATGTATTTAGGCTAGTGAGTAGAGAGACTAATGCATGTAGTGTGGCAGATCGAACTGAAGTAATTTGGTGTGTTCAAGCATCGACTGAGATACTTATTCGTTGAGCCGCTAACACATTCAGCCTCTCACTCTCTCATCATACATGATTATCTGTGTATATAGGAATTATATAAATAGTTAGATAGATATTTGTACATGGGATTGTGCACAGTGGTGTGGTGATGACTTCATTTGTTGTGTGGGTGTTTATTTTCGCATTACTGTCATGCAGTGGGCGACAATAAGCAACGAAGAGACAATTCTCAGTGAGGTGGTTTGTCAATTGTGGATAGGAGCAATTCACATTTGTGTTTGTGTGTTTGTGTAGATGATTGATGGTGTACAGTGGCTAATTCGCCTGCAGTTGACTGATGTATCATTGTGGTGGTGTTGTTTTAGAGAAGTGATAGTAAAAGTTGAAGAAGTAGTGTTAGAAGTAGTGGTGTTGGTGGTGGTGTTGGTGGTGGTAGTGATAGTAGTAGTAGTAATAGCAGGAGTAGTTGTAGTAGCAGGAGTAGTAGTAGTAATAGTAGTTGTAGTAGTAGTTGTAGTAGTAGTAGTAGTAGTAGTAGTAGTAGTAGTAGTAGTAATTGTAGTTGTAATTGTAGTAGTATTCGAATTAGTGTTGGTGGTTCCGTTGTTCTGTTTCGTCATGAGGCGACTCACTACTGAGAATGTGTATATAAGTAGTATGAATGGTTGCATGCACTTTGGATGGAAAGTGTTGCTGAGCAGTGTTGTTCGACGTTGATGCAGTTGATAATGTCGATTTTGGTGTGTATGTTGATGTTGGGTGTGTGTGTTTGTGGAATGGTGCTGTTCAGTGTGGTGTTTGTGTATGTGGCAGTGTTTGATGTGCAAATGGATGGCTGATGGTTTTGTTTGAGTTGCATGGTGGGGACGTGTTGACTGGGCTTGTCTAGTTGACTTTGCGCAGTGGCGGTACCGTAGCCAATGAAGTTTATCTGAGGCGCGGTTATTGCTAGTTGAAAACTACTCCCAATACCCCGCACCGATGGCGTGAAATATCGTTGTCGGATGCAATTTTTCTAGGCCGTATCTGGCCCAATTCACACAAAACAGTTACTCATCGCTCACTCTCATACACTTGCACGACCACACTGACATACGCCCAAACTGCATCACCATCACCGTCATCATCAACAACAACAGCCATATTAACAGTAATTCCAAAACTGTTATAACTAACACTACTACCATTACTATTATTCTTATCATTATTATTATTATCGTCATCATCATTATTAGTATTATTATTATTATCAATACTACTACTAATACTAATTCTACTATTACTACTACTACTACTACTACTACTACTACTACTACTTCTACTGTTAGTGATACTGATTCAAATACTA